CAAACAAACTAACTAACTAACTAACTAACTAACTAACTAACTAACTAACTAACTAACTAACTAACTAACTAACTAACTAACTAACTAACTCATTTTTATTACAGGAATCACCTTGCTCATTTTAAAGATTTTGGCGCCACCTAGTGGACACCGTTTCAAAATTGTGTTTTTAATCTAGACAGTCAAATTGGGGTCTCTGCAGACGAAACCGGACGAGTGGGCGTGTCACAAGGAAAGGCGATTCTAAAGCGACACACCTGATTTGACGGACTTAGTGGCAAGAACTAGGTAGTAAATAAGTGATAAAATCGTTTAAAAAGAAAACACTAGGTTTAGTAAAAATAAAATTGTACTAGAATGAATTAAAGTTGACTTAATTCAGAGCACCAGTTTACTTATCTCCAGGACGGTCAAATACTGCAACTTTTMGAGTAAACATATCGTAAATTCGTAAAAGACATTTACAGATTTTTAGTACAGAGAAGACTAAGCTAGTTCACTCAGAGTAATATTCTGAATCCAAAATATTAATTTTAACATTTATTGTGTTACGTCTTTTTTCATTGCTCACAAAATTGCACAGACATGGCAAGAATTTTGCAAAAAAAGAAAATAAGTATAAATATATTAGTTTTAAAACTGGAGCAGTTCAACATACAGAAAAAAGTAAGTTATTAAAAGTTTTATTCAAAAAACGCAAAAAAAATAAATAGATACAAAGTCTAAGTTACTGCAGTTACCTTGCAATTAATCTATTGACTGTTTAATATTATTCATATTCAAAATATTATAAATAATAATTAATTTATAATGATCACAAATAACTGACAGAATATAGAATAAATATTTGAAGACGTTTGTCTTGTTTTTTTAATATAGGTGTCAACCATAAATTAGAATTTGGCGTCACCTGGTGGTCATTGGTAATGTGCTCCTGCCTGTACAGGAAGCATTTCCTTATATGGATAAGTCTGTTCATTGTCGATAAGGCTGTCTAAACTGTAATTTTTTTTWAAAAAATATTACATTTAAACCAAGCTAGTTTGCATTCAGTACTACAGATTTAGGTTTTCATCATGACACGATGTCCTTACATTGGTATTTTCTGTTAAAATGCATCTGCTCTTCTTAAATGAAGAATAAAGGGAATTAAAAGAAAAGTAAAAATGCCTTTTTAAAGATGTAGGCTACTATTTTGTGAATTAAAAAAACTGCAAGGTTCAAGAACCATATAACGGGACGTTTACGATCAAAACTAGTTTTATATGGTGAAGCTCGCTGCTCTTTCCTTTAACAGACAAAATAAATAAATAAACAAATAAATAAATAAAATAATAAAAAAAGATAAACCAGTCATTGGATTTTATGTTAGCTGTTTGGAAACAACCACAAACATAGTAAAAATGTCAGAAATTGATTTCAGTCGAACAGATCTACATTTAGTAAGAGAAAATTGGGGAGACATGATGCATCATCATGCATCAGACACAAATTATTACGGTTATAAAAAGAAAGCTTACCATAAACCCTTCATCCATCTTGTTGTTCATCCTGCAGGAATCGCTGCTGCATAAAAATCCATCATTTCTGCCGTTTATGTTTGTAAAATTACATGACAAAAGCGTTCACTCAACCAGTTTGGTTTCACTTTTTCTTTTGGACGCTTTTGTGGTTCAGTCATTTCCAGTTACTTAACTGCTGCTGCTCGTCTTCAGGCTGACAACGACACCCCGCCACAAAAAATACTCCATTAGGCCAAACTAACTAAATGGTTTTAACAGATGTATTTTTTTAAAAATAAAAATAAAATTTCAGTCTCGCCTCTACAAAATAAAAGCGTCAGGTTTAAAGGCTGCGCGCAGAGCTTGTGTTGGAGTCTGAACTGAAAGTGAAATGTCAGGACTTCCCCAGTAACTGATGACACTGCTTCTACTGAATTCAAAACTGACACATTTCTCATTATACCACAAACACATCAAGTTATACATAGAATAATATTAATCACTATAGTTTAAACTTATGTGTGTAAAAAAACCCTCTTTGAAAAAGTTAACTATTTTTAAATTGATTAAAGTAGCTGCAGAGTCAATACAATGTGTTAAGTCATTAAAACAATTACAGAACAAAAATGAAAACAAGCTAAACAAAAGCTAAAATAAGCTAAATAAAACCCTAAACTAGCAAACTAGTAATTAAAACCAGGACCAGCAACACTAGCTGGAAGCTAAAGTTAAAAACTACTAAAACCGAAAATGAAAAAAAAAAAAATGCTGAAATGCAGGTTTACAACACAGATAAGTTACATTTTCAATCAAAACTTATGACAAGTGAATATTTGGTTAACCAAAATAAACAGAACACTTAAAAAGAATCACTTTACATTTTTATTGATGAAAATCAACACAAAAAAAAACAACAACAAAATAAAGTACAACCCACATCCATGACTATAATTTACTTTCCTTGATTTGGTATATWATTATTTTCTCAGATTCAGCTTCTTTTCTTCTACTCCTGTTTATAAAAAAGTTCATTCAGTTAAAAAAATAAAGATTTTGCAAGAAAGCTTTCTTGGTGACATAAARAACATCTTATTGCTATAACATTTATAATGATTAAATTATTAATCCCCCCCCCAGTAAGTCTTCACCGTGTTGAATGGGGATAAGGACATGCAAGCAGTAAAAACACTAGTATTTTTACACTCACCTGCATRTCTGCTGCATTTGAGAAACGGTCTCTGGCAAAGCTTTGTCAAATGTTTCAGGCAACATAAAGCATATAACACCTCCACAAACACCTAACACACCCATCACAATGTAAGGCAGTGCTTTGTAGTATTTACCTATAAAGAAGGAACTTAAAATAAGGGGAGGCAGGAAGAGCGGGAAACCTTGCACAGCCAAGCTCCACAACTTGTCTCTAAGAATAGACACTCCTCGTAAGGAAGCTCCTATCTTACCCAGATAAATGATAAAGGGGGAGATGATGAAGGCAACCAGTGCTGTCATGGAGCAACAACCCATTGCTGTGTTTCTGACCACAGTGGGGAAGAGCTCTGAAGTGAGGGTGTACACCACACAGAAGGCTGCCGTCACGCCAAACTTCCCCAAYATCTCAARAAGCACGGCCACACCCGGCAAATCTAAAAGGGATTCAACAGAATGAATAACTGACAGCAGATCCCACACCGAAAACCATCGAATGAGTCAGAGCTGCYGAAAACATCTTCACTCTATAACAGTCCAGAAGTCTTTGAAAGTTGCCTTCATCGTTACCTATTGGAATGAGGCGAATGCAGAGGATCATCACGCCTCCCAGGAAAAGCGTGGAAGACTGACAGAAGTGTCTGGAGCAGAATCAAAGCAGCAACAAGGCGATCACGTAAGCTGGGACCTCTGTCACCGCTGATAAGAAGCAGTTTCGGTAAGGGCTGCTGTGCAAGTTGGAAGTGTTGAGGAGTAAAGCGTAGTAACTAATGGTGATGATCATCCTGCCAACATATAAAGTCACAAAATACATCCTGAAGGATTACAGAATAACATTCAAAGCTCAACATTAGTCTTAATTATCTGTCAGAAGCAATACTTTTAAATGAAAATCACAACATACTACAGACTTGCACACACCAGTGTAATTAAAAACATATTGCAGCTTTTCAGGATGGTTATAATGCTTGTCTTTCACAGCTAAAGCATCTTTAATCTAAAGAAAATAAATCAAACACAATAATAAGTGGCATTATGATGTAAAAATAAGATTTAGAAATGGTTTTATTTTAAACTATGCATAATTTTTAAGATTAGATGAGGGTGTTTATTGATTAACAAACCTCTGCCTGGGTAAAAATAACCTCCGGTGCTTCAACTTTATTCATTTCAGCAGCGTTTTTAAGAATGCCCTCTGCTTCCTTTACTCTGCTCTGAGAGAGCAGCCAGCTAGGAGACTCTGACAGAATCCTGAACAGGAATCAAACACTTAACACTGAACACATYATTTATTTTCAACTATCATAAATCATTTTTCATTYGTATCTTTGGTGCACAGTTTTCCTTTGCTTTGTAGGAGTTTTGAAATATTCTCACCACCACAGAGGTAAATAGATGAGTCCAGAGGCAGCCATTGAAATCATCAGCTGCTGCCATGTTCGGAGGAAGCAGGCCACTGCAAGCATGACCATGTAGCCCAAAGCTGAGCTCATGAACACTCCAAGGGAGCTGAAGACCACCCGTGTTTTTGGACTGAGAATTTCTGTTCCTGTAAGTGTCAAGAGGGAAACTTTAAGACAATTCAACTTGCTGTGTGAGGTGCATTGTAAGGCTTTTTTCCGGTTGTTGTTTGTAAGACCACAAAGGATTATTACTGGGTTTTTACACACGCAACAAATAATGTCTTCTTTGTTCTGAGGTCTCTGTCCTACAACATTTGTGAGCATGAAAGTTGAAATTTCCCAAGAAATAGTCAGTTTTTAAGGTACTTTGTATTGTCAACAATGGCAAAATCAATGTAGGACCCAAACGACCCTTTAAACCCTTCACATGTTGGGGTTAGAAAAGTCATCCAGTCTTCAACTGCTGAATAGTAAAACATACCCAGAACAAATGCAAAAGTGTAGTTGGAAAATCCTCCAGCTCCCACAAAAAAGTAAATGAAGGCAAAGATCTCCCAGCTGGGGGAGAATATCTGTGCTGTCATTGCCTCTGTCTGAAGAGCCATCATGATGTGGAGGACGGGCTTCCTGCCAAACCTGCAGAAGAAATGTTGCTGAGTCAGACACTCAAAACACTCAACAGGAAATTCATTTGTAAAATCTTCAAAACAAAACTGTGTATTTGATGACATACTTATCAGACATCTAACCCGACACCATCGTTCCCATGAGAGCACCGACATAATGAATAGAGGTGGTGAGTGGAGTCTTGAATGAATTATCACAAACCAAGTCCCACTGCAGAGATACATTTTTTATTCATTTAGTTYCATCATTAAAAACATGTTAACAAACAGTAACTGTTTATCTGTAACTTCAGTAAAAATAACTCATAAATCAATGGATCGGCTTTGATGAAACTCTCAGAAACCAATCCYTGAATAGACATGTAAAACTAAGTGATTTTTGACATCAGCAATTCAAAACAGGTGCCACAGCTAATACTGAAAAATGGCTATAACTCAGTGAATTATATAATTAGTGAACACAATTTCATTATTTAGCTCACCTTGAGTGTAAAATCCTATTTCCACTAACTTTCTACTGTTATTCAGCTCACTTTCCTAAYAATTTGCTAATTTTTACTAAATTATTTAAATGTTAAATGTTAAATAAATCAAAACCAATTCTTTTGTGTTTGTCTGCGTTTCTGTTTTTCCTGYCCATTGTTGGGACTTGGCGCTATGTAAATTAACTGAATTGAATTAAATCTAGCATAAAGATATCTTAAARTTTTAACCAAAATTACCATCACTTTGTCATTTCTTAGCAGAAAATGTTGCGTTCATTAATTTGAAATGAATGACAGCTGCAACCTCTCACTTATACCAACAATTAAGTTACGAATAAACAAACCATGAATGTAAACTTCACACAGAAAGACCGTGAGACAAATCTGCCTATCTGCCTCTTGCTGTGGGGCAACAACTCTAACTGTGCCTGTAACAATAATTGAACAAATGAATAATTTACCAATGAACACAAGGACCAAAGCTTAGTCCTCTAATGTTGAAGCCCTTGCTAGAAATAATTCACAGCGGTGGCAAAGCTGACTTAGGGTTTTTACAGCTGTCCGTCCCTGAGTTAGTTTTAAACCGTGGCACTGACTTCAGAGGGCAGCTTCACATTGCAATGCTAGCTGGGTAAAAGTTTAAATTTAAYGCAGAAGTAGATCTTTAAACAGGATACAACTGCTAACATCAACAATCTCAAAAAATTAACAAGAAAGGACCAGCTGGACCACAGAATGGTTTAGGAACAGCTTCAATTTGGAACCCACTGAAGCACAGCAACATTAAAACACAGGGAGTTTATTGAACCCTTTGCTATAAAATCTGAAAGTTTTACATAAGGGAGAAGCCAAAAATAATTTTTAATGACATTTGYTACATGCACAGAATTGATTGAGTCCTAAATGCGTTTGGCAAAAAGCTTTCGCCATCTTCTAAAAATAAATGCATCAAAAAAACTGCTCCCTAGAATATCAACTATAAAAAAGGCTGTAATGTTCATTTATTTGTAGAAATGTTTCAAATGAAGGGATAAATAATAGCTTACATCTGTAACAATAGCTGACTGGTAGATTTCCTTACTGTACGTCCACCCGTCCAGACACTTTTCCCAAGGAATTTCACTCACATTCACATCCACATGTGGAACCACATTCTTTTCTGAATAGTTCCTGACTGTGTCCAGGTGGAGCCTCCAGCAGGACCTGTGCTTTATGATTCCATCCACTGTTTCCAACGGGATTGTCAAKTTCCTCCACGTCTCGCTGATGTTACTGCTTTCAGGGATGTGGCATTTGTGGGGTGGGGTATCAGCAACAAATACAACATAAATCCATTGGAGAAGATGCTGATGGCCAAGGCCAAAAACATCCTCAGCTGAAAAGATCCCCAAAAACCAAGAAAAGAGGTGATGGTGTCATAGTCTCAAAGTTTTGTATCGCCCATTACCCCTCCGAGATTCTGATTGTTAAAAAAACAACAAAACCAACTACTGTAACTCCATGAGTACCAAGGCAGAGTTTACAGCTCCTCAGCTCTTTGATACGAGGCCCTTTTAAGCTGGTGTCAAGTTTTAAATGCCTCCTGCATCTGGTTGTGGGAGGTTACAAAGTTATGTAAAGTGCTGTAAAACAAGTTGATCTTTAATTTGTCTTTGGCACCATTTATTTGTCGTGATCAAAAAGTTGATATGGATTTTAGACAGAAGCTTTCACAAAAATGTGATGTAACTCATTAAGACACGACAAGTCATTAAAGGAGTTCTTAATGAAGAAAGTGAATTATTTTTAAGGAAAAGTGAAACATCAACTAAGCCCGTCATTGTAATGTTTATTGATGATTGAGAAGCTTATCATGAACCTGACTTCTCAAAGATAAAAGGATTATGACTTTTTCTTACATAAGTTGTTTCCTGTGGGCGTTCAGACATTGTTGCAGAAGACCAAAGTCCCAAAGAAGAGTGAGCCAGGAAACTGATAGGSTAACAAAACCATATTGACCAATCAGAAACACGCATATGAAATTCATTGCAAACATTTTATTTCTTTTATATTTTTTTGCAATAAACAAAAACCTAACCTCAACAATAAACGTCTGGTTCTCCAGCAGCCATCTTTTTAGATTTTACCTGATCACTTTCAAGTAAGAAAGAAGTTGTGTTCCTCTAAAAAATAAAAAAAGATAAACTAAAGGGTCAGTGTATGCACTTCAGATTTTTCTTCACGTAGAATGGGTTGTTTCCTTGATGCTCCATTCTGAACACATTTCTTCTTTTTGGACCCACATAACCTGCAATATAATTGTAAAAATGATTCAACAACATAATTGTATTAAAAATGTTTGAATGCAACCAGCAAATCATAAAGCAGAGCTGGGTTTGTAATCTGCAACATGTTGCATTACTTTCAAGGACAAATTACTTTTAAGCTGTCTGATTCAGTGCATTTATCTTATCTAACCAAATATGAGCTGAGAAAAATAGTTTTTCAGACAGCTGACTGCATTCATATTAGAGCAAAACTAAAGTAAGTCCAGTTAACTTTTATGCACCTTTTCTGATGTTATGTTTTCATTTTGTCCTGAATTGCTCTCTTTTTTAACAAGTGTGTCTGYTTTTATACTTTAAACCAGATTTGATGTATTTTATGGTTAACCAACTTAAATTTCCACCTGGGAACACGTCTTGTTTTTGCCTGTTGCCATAAAAGGTGAGTCATTACATACATGCTTGTGTGTTTATTTGTTGGCAAAATATTTCACAAACCACTAAATGGATTTTATTATAATTCTCAAAGGGTAATAAAATGGTATACATCTTGATTCAATCAACTTGATTCAAGCTGAGGCTAATCAACCTTAGCATTTAAAACATGACTGGAACTCAGTCAACTAATCAGACATTCAGCTAAAATTTGGTGTGGCAATAGCTGAGTCATCCTCATCAAACATCATGAGTGCTGACGAAGAGCTATGAGCAAAACCTTTGTTTAAAGTTTTGGCAGGCAAGAAAATAAGCAAGCAAGCAAGCAAGTAAAGAAGTAAGTAAGTAAGTAAGTAAGTAAGTGTAAGTAAGTAAGTAGGTAAGTCAGTAAGTAAGTAAGTAAGTAAGTAAGTAAGTCAGTAAGTAAGTAAGAAAGTGAGTAAGTAAGTAAGTAAGTAAGTAAGTAAGTAAGTAAGTAAGTAAGTAAGTAAGTAAGTAAGTAAGTAAGTA